TAGAATAGAAGAGTTGAAGCAGATTCTAAAGATCATCTACCCTAAGCTAGATAGATATAGGAATCCTGTATCACCCTCACAGGAAGGAGGTCCTCTAGTTTCCTTCTGAAGACTTCCAGTGATGAGAAATGGCCACCTCCCTGAGAAGTCCATCCCATCTTCAAATAGCTCTAATTGTTATTACAGTTATCTGCATACAGAACTGAAAGTTTTCTATCTCAACATCTGATGAATTGGCTAACATCCCATACACATTAACTACTCCATCAAGTTCCACAAGTTAAACACAGATAGCTTCAAAATCCACATGTGCAGCCTTCCACTTTCCTGGATTCTGGACCTACAATTCCTCTACCTATTGGAAATTCCATACAAGGAAAACCTTCTGACACCTGAAATTCAATACTTCCAAAGAAATCCCATCACCTTCCCCTTTCCATGTTTCTTTTTCTTCTAAATACTATCACTGATACCATTAGTATCCCAATTAATTAGTCATAAAACCTAGACTCATCTAGTCACTAATCAACTTTAAACTGTAGCCAAAATGCAAAGAAACCTGAATTTTAAGTCAGAGGATGAGTGCTCAAATATTGACTATCCCACTTCCCACTCGTATGATTAAACACATGTCACTTCATAATCTCAGTGGACCTTACTTTTCTCTCCTGTAAAATGTGAGAATTGGATTAATGACCTTTAAATCTCTTTCAGGTCTAAATTGATCATTCTATGATATAATATGCAATATTTTCCCACCTTCTTGCTTCTGTTCAAACAATATTCTTTGTCCAAACTGTACTTTTCTCTCATGACCCTACGATGTCGTGATTTTGCAATCCTACCTCACTCATCAAAATAACATAACTTTTAGTATTCTGCTCTCTTTCTCCTCTGAGCCTTGGGGGCCAAGTATCTTCTCCCTTCTCTAAATTTTTATAGTCCTGTGTTCATACTTCTCTTCTGTTCTTATTATGAACTTTATTGCATGCTACTTAAATACATATTCTATCTCCCTTTTTAGCTTGAAAACAGTTTAAGAGTAAGGACCATGCTTTCTTTTATCTTTTTATCTTATCTGATGATGAGTCTAGCGATTTGCCCATATCAAAAGCTTAATAAATTTGTACTGAATTTACTTAATTAGAGTTCTGCTGTGACTGTCCTATTCAGAAACCTCCCCAAACTCCTAGATTAAGTGGGGTCAGAAAAGAAGCCACCATCTTACCCATGGCATTGCTGTTGAGCAGGAGCACTCCATGGGCATTGCCATCCTCTTCCAGACCCATGTAATAGGGGTGCACACCATAGGAATTCATCTTATACTAGGTCAACAGTTGAAAAGAGATCAGTCATGGTTTACACAAAGGACAATGCATAATAAAGCTGGATCCATAATCTTCCTTGGGTGAAGTTCAAGGTCTCAAGGAAAATGGAGAATGAGAGGGTGATTCAATTCAATAAGTATTTATAATTGGGTTACTCAGATTCATAACTATCTTTACTAGAAGAGCATGAACTTGGATAAACTTATCCTGGAATAGGGCCAAAGAAAACAATATGTATGAATAGCTACAAGTTGTGAACACTTACCCCTGGGGGCTGGTCTCGAGCAAACATTCCCCATGTGTGCCAGTTCAGGTTCCTCCGGAATGTCATGTGCTCAGTTTCTCCAAAGCCATAGATGTACTGAGATGGGAGGCGGGTGGAGATACGTAGGAACATGTCATTAAAGGTAAAGCCAGGGACCTGGGAATCCCAACTGAAACATAAGAGTACATCATGACTCTAAGGAGGGTTGAAGAATTCCTGTGATGTGCATCTCTACTACAAGGATCTGCAGAATAGCCATAATTACTCCAGCTTCATTTACTAGACTTCAGGATAAAGAAAGTCTCTGAAGGAAGTCTCTTTCTTTAGTTGAGAGGGCTTTGACTCAGAGGTGGTTACAGCAAATAGGATTTAGATATGAGGGCAAGGGGGCTTGATAGAATAGAAAAACCTAGAATGACGCAATTAAAAAAAGTACATGAAATAGTTCCTACCTTCAGGAAGCTCATAAATTAGAAAAAGAGGTAAGATATTTATAATACCAAACTATTAAAGAATAATATAATGGATGGTTCTAAGTCAATACAATCAAATGTGTTGGAGACAGCTAAGTGCTTCAGTGGATTAAATGCCAGACCTAGAGTCAGGAAATCTTGAGCTCAAATCTGGCTTCTCACACTTACTAGCTGTGCGACCATGGACATGTCATTTAACTGCTGTTTACCTCGGTTTCCTCATTTGTAAAATAGGAATAATAATAGCACCTATCTCCCGGGGTTGTTGTAGAGATCAAATGAGATGATAATTGCAAAGTGTTTAGCACAGTGTCTGACACATAGTAAATGCTATATTAATTTTACTATTATTATTACTGGATTTTAAAAATATTCTAATCCCTTAACATAAAATCCAAGTTCATCTACTCATTTATCCTGCTTCTTTCCTTGGCATTTCCTTCTCTTCTCTGTGCTACCATTGTCTTTCTCCTAATTAACTGCAGTAGACCAGCTCTGTCTCAGGGAAACTCAAGTTGGTCTTTTGATAACAGATCCAATTTAACATTACATGCAGTAAACCCTAGGACGTCTGGGGAAGTAATTAAAGCTTCTGGTAAAGTTGGGGCCCTGAGAAAATGGCACCTGGGAAGAGCCTGCTTATTTTTGTTGTTACTTTATTAGAATAGATTGTTCTTGGTTTGGCTTTCTCTCCCTGGAGTGTGAAAAGACTGATCTTTTCATTAAGTCCTACAACTTCCATTTGGAAGAAAGCCCAGGAATATCTGATCGAGGTCTTCCCTGAATCTGGGCATATACAATACTTAATCTCTCTCTATTCTACACCATGGCCCTATAGTATTGTTTTCCTTATTTATAGTGGATGGTTTTCAAATTTTTTCCATGGGAAATTACAATGCATAGAGATTTTCCAGACCTTATAATTGGCAGAATGAAAATGTGTGTATATACATATATGTACACAAATACATACATATACACACACACATATATACATATACATATACATATATAAAACTTTCTCCCAATGTGTATGTATATCAGATTTAGTTTAAAAATTATTACCACTGCTAAGTCTATATCCCAAAGACATTCAAAAAAAAAAAAAGGAAAAGGACCTATTTGTAAAAAAAAAAAATTACAGAAGCTCTTTTTGTTTTGGCTAAGAATTGGAAATCAAAGTTATGCCCATCAATTAGGGAATGGCTAAACAAGCTTTGGTATATGATTGTAATGAAATATTATTGTGCTATTAAGAAATGACAAGCAGGATGATTTCAGAAGAACCTGGAAAGATTTACATGAACTGATGCATAGTGGAGTGAACAGAACCAAGAGAATGCTGTACACAGTAATAGCAATACTATTTGATGAAGAATTGTGAATGACTTAGCTATTCTCAGCAATACAATGATCCTAGACAATCCCAGGGGACTAATGATGAAGTATGCTATCACTTCCACAGAAAGAACAGATATTTTTTAATACTAACTGAAGCATGCTATTTTTCACTTTCTTTCATTTTTTCTTTTAATTTGAGACTTCTTATATAAAATTATTAATATCGAATGTTTTATATAATTGTACATGTATAACCTATATTTAATTGTTTACCATCTCAGAGAGAGGGGCAGGATGGGAAGGTAGGAGGGATAGAATTTGGAATTCAAAACTTTAAGTTAAATGTTTAAAAGTTGAAAAAAAATTATTCATGGAGAAATTGAGAAAAAATAGAGATTGTCTATAGCCTTATATAAAAATTATATGTGGGTGTCTTAATATATATTCAGGTCTCTCCTTGCCAGTTTCTCTGACCTTTGTGGGTCATAGATCTAACAGGCATTACATAATTTAAAAATGTATGGATATGGATATGGAAGTGAAAGAGACAATGCCAGTTTCCTCTCACAGTAATAGTCCATCATCGTCGAATTCTTAACTGGAGTCATGTAGGACATAATATCATAGCATTGAGAGTTGAAAGGAATCTTATACTTTCTCTAATTCAATTACCTCATCATACGGATTAAGAAAGCCAAGGGATGTGAAGTGATGCATACACTTGTTCAAGATTTGAATCCTGGTCACTAATTTTTGGTGACCAAACCCAGTGGCCCATTCCACTATTCCAGAAATCAAGGTCAAGTCAAAATTCTGATTGCCCATTTATTTTACCATACATATGGAGCACAAAACTACTTACATCACAGTGCCTGTGCTTTTTCGGCGGATCTCAATTCCAAATGGGTTTTCCTTGATGGTCACATCATAGAGAAGATTTTCAGGTTGGATGACGGGGGCACTTGGAATATTTAAGGACACTGGGACTTCATACCTTTTATTGTTGGCATCATAGATCTAGAAAACAGAAAAACTTGAGGTTCATCTTATTTATGGTCTTAGAACCAGTCTTAGGGCCAGAGAACCCGGCAGGGAAAGACTTGGGTATATATTAAGACACTCACTTTAAGTTTTATATAAGGCTATAGACAACCTCTGTTTTGTCAATTTCCTCATCAATAAAAATGTTTAAAACTAAATCTGATATGCACCCAGATTGGGAGAAAGTTAAAAATGATTTTTTTTTTCATTCTCATGGTTGATTCTATGGTTTCTGAGGATCTATCTGCTTTTAGTCCTGAAATAAGCCAGACATGGCAAGAGGAGTACTTTCGTTCTCTCTCTAGTTTTCAAGTATACTTTGATCACTTCAATTTAATTAGAAGGCTGATAAAACCACTCTAGTAGTTCTACTTGCCAGTAAACTACAATTCATTTGTCACTTTCAAAAGCTTATTCTATTTCATCTAGTATTTAGACCTCTACGTATTATTACTATTAGACTATAAAGTCTTTGAGGGTAAGAACTGTCTTACTTTTGTGTTCATAGTCCCAGTGCTCAACATATAGTAAGTACTTAACAAGTATCCTTTCATTCATTCATTTATTCATTCTTGTGAAGTTAGAAATAATGTAATCCAACTCTCATTGTACAGATAAAAATAAAGTCAAAAGATTTGTGACTTCCCCAGGTAATCTCTAATGTCCTTTCTAGTTCTAAATCTGTGATCCTATGAAATGTCTACACAGCAAACAAAGATATGAACTTGAACTTAGGCACATAATTTTAGTAGAATATCCCTCCAATCAGATTTTCCACTTTGGTGTTTGCATGTCAACATTGACCATTTAAGAGCCAAATTTAGACATGAAACTTTATTTTTAGGGTGTCATAGGAGATGTTAATTGGTTTAAATAACACTAACAGATTATGAGCTTCTTGATGGAATTGTTGTCTCTCTTCCCCAGTGCTTCTCCAGTGTTTGCTTAATACAGGGATTCAGTACACATGAACAAGTATTGTGGGATCAATTTCAAGGAAAAAAACAATTGCTTTAACTTGGGCATGAAAGTAATAATAACTAACATCTTTATAGTGCTTTAAAATTTACAAAGTACTTTACATAATCTCAGTCAAGGCTCACCATAACCCTTTGAATTACATATTATATTGTTATATTATTCTCTGTGTTTCACCTACGATGAAACTGAGACTTAGAGAGATTAATTATTAATTATGACCATATTTGTGGTCATACAGCTGATAGGCATCAGGTAAGAAGTATCTTAACCCAGATCTTCCTGACCCTAAGTCCGACATTCTACCCAATATGCCATGCCTCAATGAAACTGGGGTGAATTTTAATCTAGTCCTTAAAACATACATTTATTTATATTTAGATTGGGGGAGACAGATGATCCTTCTAATAACACATTTATCGTAACGGTGATTTGCATATGCAATTTAATGATTTTATCCATTCACAAGAAGTATTGATGACCTATACAGATATTTGGTAAGATATTGAAGATGTCTTCAAAGAATTTATTCCTTTATAAAAACAAGCTTTTCTCAGAAAAGAAAGTTTCCTTTTGCTTTAATTTTTGGGGAGGAAATTTTTAATAATTAGCCACAGATGATTCTTTTTGAAAGATGAAATCATGGAAGTAGAGATAAAATCATAATTATGCTGTATGTCTTAAGTACATCCTTCCCATCTATTTCCCTTCCACTTATCCCTAAGTACCCAGGTCAAATAACACTTCCACCCTGACCACTTATGACCTATTCCTCTATATGTCCTATGGCCTTTTATCTTCCATAACAAAATCACTGCATTAACATCCACTTCTCTTTTTGTAAACAGACTGTGATCCCAGGTATTGGGTACTTACAGTACTTAATCAAATTTCTCATACATACTAGATACTAAATTAGTATCATTGGCTAATTGATCCTTGTGAACCTCTTCATTAACAAGAGCTATAAGCTCAGTGTACCTTAAACTGTAGCATGTCATCTTTATGGAATGTCACATCCAATCGGAGGTGGTTAATGGGCGTGGAAGGGTAGTGGTTGACCTCCACATTTCGGGAGATGTCTGCTGTTAGGCCCTCTGGTCTCTTCTGAATATTACTGGCCGTATAATAATATTTGGTGATATAGCAATAAGGGACTCCTGGAGAATTGGTTGGCTGAAATTAAAAAAAAAACTTTAGAGAATAATCAAAACCATGAAATCTGTAAGTAAAGATGAAAGGGTACATTTAGCTCATGTCCTCCAAACCATTACAAAGAGCTCCTCAGAGGGAGATGTCCCAGACTCTCTTAATTTTTCATTCAACAAATCTGCCTTCTCTCCCTTCTACTTCCCCCCTCCCACTCATCTTAGCAAGAAAACAAAACAAAACCCCTTTTATAAATATGTAAAGTCAAACAAAATAAATTCCCAATGGATGGATTATTAAATTGTGGGAGTAAAATTTAAAAAGACTGAAAAGATAGGGAAAAAGTCAGATGGTAAAGTGTTTTAAATATCCAATAGGAACTGATGTTTGATCCTAGATAAAATAGGGAGCCACTGGAATTTACTTAGTGTGTGTAAGGGAGTGGGCAGGTAAGAAAGGTAACACGGTATAGACCTGTACTTTAGGGAAATCACATTGGCAGCTTTGAGGAGGACAGACTGAAGTAGGGAGAGACTTGAGGCAGGGAGATCAATTAGTAGGCTAGAATAACATTTCAGAAAAGAGGTGATGAGGGCGTCAACCAGGGTGGTGATTATATGAGTGGAGAGAAAGGGATATATGAGAAAGATTTATTAAAGGTAAGCAGTTGGTAACTTATGTGGCATGAGTGAGTGAGGGGTTCAAGATGCAACTGAGAATCTGGGAGACCAGAGTAACAGTGGTGCCGTTGATTACAACAGGTAAGTTCAGAGGGGGGTGGGGATGTTGGGAGTAAAGATAATGAGTTCTATTTTGGACATTTTGAGTTTGAGGTCCTTATGAGATCAAGAGAGAGACTATGAATGGATACACATACACACATATAACTGGGAATCATTTGCAGATGAAGATACAGCAAAGATGAAGATACATACAAGAGGAAATCAGGAGGAAGCAGTGTCATGAAAACCCAGAAAGGACAGAGTTCCAATAGAAGAAGATGATCAAGAGGGTTAAATGCTACAAAAAAGCAAAGAGGCATGAAATTTGAGAAAAGGTCATTACATTTGGCAAATAAAAGATCACTGGTAAATTTGGAGAAGAGAGTAGTTTTAGTTGAATGACAAGGTTGGAAGCTGGACTGCAGAAGGTTTAAAAAAGAATGAGAAGAGAGGAAGTGGAGACTCAAGCTTTTCAACGTTGCTGAGAAGGAAAGAAATAAGACAACAGCTAGCGAGATGGTAGAACCTAAGACACAGGCGTATTTGTAAGATTCATGGAAGGAGCAGTAGAAAGGAGAGAGAGGACTAAAGAGTAGAAAGTGGGGACTAGAGTTGGAGCAATCTTCTGGGGACTATAGGAGGGGATAAAATCAAAGTTGGCCTTGTCAAGGAGAAGGGCTACCTCTTCATAAGAGACTGCAGTGAAAGAGAAAATAGCAGCAGATGATGTCAGAGTGACATGAGATGAGAAGACGAGAAGATCTAACTTTCAGCATTAACCTCAATTATTTTTTTGGTGAAATATGAAATGAGGTCCTCAGTTGAGGTGCTGCATAGAAGGAGTCCTCTGATAGTCTTGAAGAAAGATAAGAGTAGGAAGGAGTAGGATTGCTTCGCTGCAGTGAGGGCTCAGTTGAGAATAGATAACATAAGTTTGTAGTGGATGAGATGAGCATGTTTGCTTCTCAAACATGACTTTCCAAAGCTTTATTAAGTAGCATGTGAAAAATGATGGAGGTAGATGGTGGGAGTAATATAGGGCTAGATAGAGTTTGACAAGGCATGATCTGTGAGGGGACAGGGTATTTAAAAAAAGACAGTCATGGAGAGCTGAACTGGTTCATCCAGGGGGTTAGGAAGAGAAGAGAATACAGACAGTGTAGCAGTGAAGGCCTGGGAAAGTTACGGTGAGCTTAGAGTTCGAGTAAGGACAAAGAATAGGGAAGGGGTCATAAGGTACATATAAGTACATACATAGGTACTACAGGCATTATTATCTGCATTTTGTAGATAAGCTATTAAGGCTCATATATGTTAGATAACTTGCTTATCCCAGAGCTAGTCAGCATTTTAACATTTTAACTCAACTCTTTCCAGATTTCAAGTCCAGCAGCTAGGTGGTGCAATGGATAGAGTGCGAGCCCTGGAGTCAGGAAGACTCATCTTCCTGAGTTCAAATCCAGCCTCAGATACACTTACTAGCTATATGACCTTCACTTCACCCTGGTTGACTCAGTTTCCTCATCTGTAAAATGAGCTGGAGAAGGTAATGGTAAACCACTCCAGTATGTTTGCCAAGAAAACCCCAAATGGGGTCACAAAGAGTCAGACATGACTAAAAAACGACTGAACAACAACATTTGTTCTACTACACTGTGCCATCTTTTGCCTCTCCTCCTTTCTTCCCCATTGGCACACTCTTTCTCAGAGGAATCCTTGGCTCTAGTTTCTTGATTTAGAAACCAAAAGTAATATCATAAGATAATAAGCCTGGAGCTAAGCTTCTTAATGAGATAATAAAGCCTATATACTGAGATAACACAAGTTAAATGCAGATATCAGAAGTGAACATTTTGACCAGTGGTCTTTCCCTAGTCAATTGTGTGAAGAACATCACGAAATGAATGAATCCCACAAAAAATAAAATTTACTCCCTAGCATGAGTCTAGGGAGATAATTTGGGAAGAAAAAAAAAGGTGGCTCTTTTAATCCATTTCAACATACCACTATAGTGGCAAATATTTGTAAATATAGAAAAAAGATTCTCTATTGACATGTGTGGAAAGAGATAGATCTGGGATGGCCTAGCCTGGGACCAGAGGCCTCTCCAAATAGAACAGTCCGTTCTTCACTGACTCTTTTACTCAATCATCTGGATTTGAAGTTTATAGGTTTCTGGATCGGAGGAGGAGGGGGAGACAAAAACTCCCACATAAATATCCACTTGCTTTGAATTATCTCAATTCCTTCCTGGTGTCTCTACAATAGAAGAGGCCATAGCAGTGAAAAGGGAAGACTTTAGGGTAATTCAGCTACTTACAAGGACTAAACTGTCCCTGCTCTGGTTACTTCTATCTATGATAGCAACTTATCTTTGTACAACTTTCTTCTCCAATTCTGTTGTTGTTCAGCCATTTTTCAGTCAAGCCCAACTTTTCTTTTTTTCTTTTTAAATTTTTTTATGAATTTATTTTGATTTATCAACAATCACTTCCATACGCTTTTGAGATTAAAATTTTTCTCTGCCTTCCCCAAGATGGCGCACAATATGATATAGGCTATACATTTACATTCATATATTTTCACATTAGTGATGTTGTAAGTAGAAATTAAAACCAATAGGAGGAACCATCAGAAAGAGGAAACAAAACTCAACAGAAGAGAAAAAAATAACAATTCGGATTCCATAGTTCTTTCTTTGGGTGCAGATAGCATTTTCCATCACAAGGCCTCTGGAGATGTCTTAGATCCCTGTATTGCCAGGAAGGGTTAAGTTTATCAATATTAGTCATCACACAACATGGCTGTTATTGTGTACAACGTTCTCTTGGTTCTGCTCACTTCACTCAGCATCAGACCATACAAGTCTTTCCAGGTTTTTCTGAAGTCAGACTGTTCATCATTTCTTACAGCACAATAGTATTCCATCACATTCATATACCACAACTTGCTCAGCCATTTCCCAATTGATGGGCATCCTCTCAATTTCCAATTCTTTGCCACCACAAAAAGAGCTGCTATGAATATTTTTGTACATGTAGGTCCTTTTCCCATTTATGTGATCTCTTTGGGATATAGCCCTAGAAGTGCTATTGCTGGGTCAAAGGGTACACACATTTTTATAGCCCTTTGGGCATAGTTCCAAATTGCTCCCCAAAATGGTTGGATCATTTCACAACCACACCAACAATGCATTAGTGTTCCAATTTTGCCACATCTTCTCCAACCTTTATCATTTTCCTGTTTTGTCATGTTGGCCATTCTGATAGGTGTGATGTGCTACCTCAGAGCTGTTTTGATTTGCATTTCTCTAATCAATAGTGATTTAGAGCATTTTTTCATACGATTATAGATGGCTTTAATTTCTTCATCTGAGAACTGTCTGTTCATATCCTTTGACCATTTATCAATTGGGGAATGGCTTGTATTCTTATAAATTTGACTTAATTCTCTATATATTTTAGAAATGAGGCCCTTATCAGAGAGACTGGTTGTAAAAATTCTTTCCCAGTTTTCTACCTTCCTTCTAATCTTAGTTGCATTGGCTTTGTTTGTGCAAAAACTTTTCAATTTAATGTAATCAAAATTATCTATTTTGCTTTTCGTAATGTTCTCTATCTCCTGTTTGGTCATGAATTCTTCTGTTCTCCATAGATCTGACAGGTAAACTATTCCTTGCTCTCTCAGTTTGCTTATAGTATCAGATTTTATATCTAAATAATGTGCCCATTTTGACTTTATTTTGGTATATGGTGTGAGATTTTGGTCTATGCCTAGTTTCTGCTATACTCTTTTCCAGTTTTCCCAGAAGTTTTTTTCGGCATGCCCAACTTTTCATGACTCTATTTGGAATTTTCTTGGCAAAGATACTGGAGTGGTTTGCCATTTCTTTCTCCAGATCATTTTACATTTGAGGAACTGAGGTAGAGTTAAGGGATTTGCCCAGGGTCACATAGCTATTAAATGTTCAAGGCCAGATTTGAAATCATGTCTTCCTAACTCCAGGCCTAGCATTCTATCCATTGCCACCTAGCTATTATACCTAACCTTTATCTACATAGGATCATAGAATTTTAGGATCACAGACTTAGAGCTGGAAGGGAGCTTAGAAGTCAAAGTGCAACCCCCTAATTTACAAGTGAGGAAAATGAGGTCAGGTTTCTGGGTGAAGTGGCTTGACCAACATCATATAGTTAATGTGTCTGAAGGAGGATTTGAACCCTGGTCTTTCTGACTTCAAGTCCACCATTCTATTTACCACACTATGCTACTTTAGAGCAGGTCAGAGGAAAGGAGAGAATCATCAGAAGAAAAGGATGAACTGGGAGAAAATTTGTATGGGGTGGGGTGAGGTGTATGTGTTTATGCCAATGTGTGTGAGAGTGTTTGTGTGATCTTACCTCCCAGGCACAGTCACGCAAATTACAGTTTTCTTCATTAGAACCATCTGCATCAGGATAGCAGTCAAATTTTTCTGTGTCTATGAAATCTGTGGACCACTCCACTGTATACTGCTTCCCCAGTTCAAGATAAAGTCCTGTGATGTGAAGCACCTGTAAGGATAGAAACAAATTGTTAGTAAAAAGGTACCACTGAAATCAGCAATTAGAAAATCATCCAACTAAAACAATTCTGGTACATGAATGTAATGGAATATTATGACCACATAAGGAAAGATAAATATGAAAAATTCAAAGAAGTATAGAAAAAAAATGATGCAAAGTTTAAAAAAAAAGTCCAGGACAAAGAAAACAATATAGATAATTACTATAGGAATATAAATGGAAAGAACAAAAAACAAATAAATAAAACTTAACATTGTGTCATCATAACAACCAACCATGGCCCCAGAAAGGAGATGAGAAAATGCCCTTCCCTCCCATTTTTGCAAATGTGGGTCTAAAGAGGCACTAAACACTGCAAATACTTTCAGAATTAGTTGATATGTTGCTTTTGCTAAACTGTTTTGTTTCTCTTTCTTTTCTATTATTTATTAGAAGAGACGTCTCTCTAGGTAGGGAAGTGAGAATGATATATTTAGAAGGCTCCTTCCCTTCTAATCTAACACAATACCAACTCTCCTCACCACAAGACCAACCTCATTGCCAGTTTGAGAGTTACTTTTCCTTCCTTCTCCTGTGGGCCTGCCGACAAATTTAATTCCATGAAAAATCAGTGATGTGCAAAGGAGACAGACAGAATCTATGGGCAAGAACTAGTTTTATTCTAAACAAAACAGAGTCATGCTTTTAATTATTCCTTCATCATGATACAGCAGAAATAGCAAAAATAGCATTGGATTTAGAACCCAGGGAACTTGCTTTCAAAGCTTGCTTCTATTACTTACTACCTGGAGAACCCAGGACAAGTTTCTTAATCTCTCTTGACCTCAGAGGGTCTTCATCCATAAAATGAGGTTTTTGGATGAAATGATCCATTCGAGCTCTAGATTTGTGATTCCATTGGAACCTGGAAGGATATTCTGATCTCTGACCACAGGAATACAAGTGAAGGCTTAGGACTAACTGACCTCTAAAGCCTCTTCCAGCTCTACTATGATTATAGGATTAATTTCAGAATGTAGTTCCAAGTAAGACCCAGTATTAGAAAGCTTGAAGGAACAGAGGGGAAAATGATGAGTAAAATATAAAGCTGAAAAAAAAATTGTGGTCTTTGTATAGAATTCATTTATTAAAAGCATATCCTCTGAATAGTTTTACCACAGTGACACAGGGGATGACATTGTTTTATTTTGTACAATTCCATTCTAGCAGCCTGATAATCAGATGCCATGATTTTCTAGCAATTAAGACAAGTTGACTATACTCACTTAAGGCAGCTAGGTAGTGCAGTGGACAGAGCAATAGGTCTGGAGTCAGGAAGACCTGAATTCAAATCTGGCCTCAGACACATACTAGCTATGTGACTTCAGGCAAGTCACTTAACCTTTGTCTGCCTCAGTTTCAATGGGGATAATAATAACACCTGTCTTGCAGGGTTGTTGTGTAGATCAAATGAGACATAATTGTAAAGGCACTTAGCACAGTGCCTGGCACGTAGTAAGTGCTATATAGATGCATATTCCCTTCCCTTATTCGCACTCATACTAATGTTGTCTCTCATCATGTAGTGTTCTAATCACCTCCCTTACTTTTCTCTACTCCTTTGTAGTGAACAGATCTCATTTTTAAAAACTGAGGGGAGGAAACAGCTAGGTGGCGCAATGGATGGAGCACCAGCCCCGAAGTCAGGAGAACCTGAGTTCAAATCCGGCCTCAGACCAAACTCTTGACACACTTAGTAGCTGTGTGACCTTGAGCAAGTCACTTAACCCCAATTGCCTGGGAAAAAAAAAAACGAAGGGAAGAACAGGCAGGAAGAAAAGCCCAATCAAATAAATCTTGAGTGTTCAGAGGTCATACAGAAGACTACAGTTAGATATCATGGTTGCAAAAAATTTCTCAGAAAAATGAATGATTTGTAAACTTAGGGAAAAAACCTATCCAGCAAAGAGAGTAGCACACATTTGTACAATGACAAGACATATTCTTGTTTCACAAATTTTTAAAGTGCAAGTCAGATAAATAAAGTATGTTGGTGTGTTCAACTAGGTTACTGAAAAAAATAGTAGTGTTTTAAAAATCAAAGGAAATGGGCTGAAGTCATTTAATCTTCTCTGGCCTCAGTTTCCTGATCCATCAAATGAAATGGCTGGAATAGATGAGCTCTGAGCTCCCTTCCAACTGAAGAACTGTGATCCCATGATAATGAAGACAAAACATTTTTGGGCTCTTTCTTGTGACCTTACATTTGGGAAGAGTCTATTTTAGTCCTTGATTCAACAATTAATTGAAAAGAAAGCTGTGAGAAAAGAGACAAATGATCCCTCCCTCTCTAAATTCCAGAACATCCATATATTGTATCTACATTGATACTTTTACACATAAAAATGATCTGGAATCATCAACAACAAAAAGATAGATTGTATTTAATCCTCTGTCTACTGAGGATTTATTTTTTTTTCCAATTTCATGTAAAAACAATTTTTAACATTTGTTTATTTTAAATTTTGAGCTCCAAATTCTCTCCCTCCTTTCCTTCCCTTCCCCCTTCCTGAGACAGTAAGCAATTTGATATAGATTATACATGTAAAGTCATGCAAACTTAAAGAAAGTTGTTGTTTTTTTTAAATATGCTTTCATCTGTATTCAGACTCTATCAGTTCTTTCTCTAGAGGTGGATAGCATTTTTCATCATAAATCCTTTGGAATTGTCTCGGGCCATTGCATTGCTGAGAATAGCTAACTCATACATAACTGATTATCCTATAATGTTGCTGTTATTGTGTACAATGTTCTCCTGGTTCTGCTCACTTCACTTCACTTCAGTTTATGTAAGTCTTTCCAGGTTTTTCTGAAAGCATCCCGTTCTTCATTTCTTATAGCACATTAGTATTCTCTCACACTCATATACCACATCTTATTCAGCTATTCCCTAATTGATGGGCATCTCCTCAATTTCCAATTCTCTGCCACCACAAAAAGAGATGCTATAAATATATGTAGATATAGGTCTTCTTCCTTTTTTTAAAACCTCTTAGGGATACAGACCTAGTAATGGTACTCCTGAGTCAAAGGGTATGTATAGTTTTATAACCATTTGGGCATGGTTAGACATTGCTCTTCAGAATGGTTGGATCAGTTCACAATCCCACCAACAATTCAGTGCCCCAACTTTTCCACATCTCCTCCAACATTTGTCATTTTCATTTTTTGTCATATTAGCCAATCTAATACGTGTGATGTGTTAACTCAAAGTTGTTTTAATTTGCATTTCTTTAATCAACAGTGATTTAGAGCATTTTTTTCATATAACTATAGATAGCTTTGATTTCTTCATCTGAAAGCTGCCTATTCATATCCTTTGACCATTTATCAGTTTGGAAATGACTTGCATTCTTATAAATTTGACTCAGTTCTTTGAGACCTGTATCGGAGAAACTGGCTGTAAAATTTTTTTCATAGTTATGATTACTAACTGTGAATTTCCCTCCATCCTATTTTTGTTCTATTGATCCTTCTCTCTCTCTCCTTTCACCCTCCCTCCTCAAAAGTGTTTTGCTTCTGACCAGCACTTCCCCAGTCCACCCTCCCTTCTATCACCACAACCCTCTTCCCTTATCCTCTTCCTCTCCTACTTCCCTGTAGGGTAAAATAGACTTCTATACCCAACTAAGTGTTTATGTCATTCCCTCTTTGAGCTAATTCCAATGAGAGTAAGGTTCAATTGCTGTCTACCACCTCCCTCTCTCCATCTTCCCCTCTGCTGTAAAAACTCTTCTGTATCTCTTTTATGTGAGATAATTTATCCCATTTTACCTCCCCCTTCCCCCTTCTCCTAGTGCACCCCTCTTTCTCATCCCTTAATTTTACTTTTTCAGATATCATCCCTTAATTTTACTTTTTCAGATATCACCCCTTAATTTTACTTTTTCAGATATCATCCTATCATAGTCATGCCTTTTTCTCACCCTTTAATTTTATTTCTTTTATATATTATCCCATCATCATCAACTCATTCCCATGTTCTCTACATATACTCCTCCTAACTGCCCTAATAATAATGACAAAGTTCTTAAGAGTTACAGGTATCATCTTCCATGTAGGAAAGTAAAAAGTTTAACCTTACTGAATCTCTTATGATTTCTTTCTTGTTTACCTTTTTATGCTTCTTTTAAGTCTTGTCCTATATTTGAAAATCAAATTTTCTATTCAGCTCTGGTCTCATTAGGAATGCTTGATCGTTAAATATCCATTCCCCCCGCCCCCACAAAGGATTATATTGTTTTGTTGGGTACGTGATTCTTGGTTGTAATCCTAGCTCTTTTGCCCTTTGGAATATCATATTCTAATCCTTTCATGTAGAAGCTGCTAAATCTTGTGTTATCCTGACTGTGGCTCCACGACATTTAAAATGTTTCTTTCTGGCTGCTTGCAATATTTTCTCCTTGAAGTGGGAGCTCTAGAATTTGGCTAAAATATTCCTGTGAGAGTTTTCATTTTGGGATCTCTTTCAGGAGGTGATCAGTAGATTCTTTCCATTTCTATTTTCCCCTCTGGTTCTAGGATGTCAGGATAATTTTCCTTGATAATTTCTTGAATATGTATAAGCTCTTTTTTTTTATCATGACTTTCAGGTAGTCCCATAATTTTTAAACTATCTCTCCTCAATCTATTTTCCAGGTCAGTTTTTGTTCCAATGAGATATTTCAAATTTTCTTCAATATTTTCATTCTTTTGATTTTGTTTTATTGTTTCTTGATGTCTCATAGAGTCATTAACTTCAACTTGCCCAATTCTAATTTTTAAAGAATTATTTTCTCCAGTAAGCTTTTGTATCGCCTTTTCCATTTGGCCAATTCTACTTTTCAAGGAGTTCTTTTCTTCAGTGAATTTTTTTCACTGTACATCTTTTTCCATTTGGCCAATTCTGTTTTGTAAAATGATGTTTTCTTCAATATTTATTTTGTGCCTCTTTCAGCAAGTTGCTGACTCTTTTTCATGATTTTCTTGCATCACTTTTCATTTCTTTTCCTAATTTTCCCTCTACCTCTCTTATTTAATTTTTAAAATCCTCTTTGAGCTCTTCCTGGAATTCTTTTTGGACCTGTGACTTATTCACATTTTTCTCTGAGGCTCTAGATTAGCTGTTTTGATTTTGTTGTCTTCTCTGAGTTTGTGTTTCAATCTTCCCTGTCACAATAGTAACTTTCTATGGTCAGGTTCTTTTTTTGTTGTTTACTTACTTTTCTAGCCTATTTCTTGACTTTTAACTTTATGTTAAAGTTGGACTCTGCTGCTGGGGTGCAGACAGCACTGTCCCAAGCTTCAGGTTTTTTATGCTGCTGTTTTCAGAGCTAGTTCTGGGGGTCTTTAGTTCCTCCAAGATGTCATGATCTAAGGAGAGGTGTGGTCACTGTTTTCCTGGCCTGTACTCTGGTCTATGAGCAACCATATGCACTCTTCTCCACTTGGAACTGTGACCAATGTTCTCACTTCCCAGTGTTTCATGTACTGGTGTGCTAGTGCTTTTTTTCAGCCTGGGACTGTGACCCTAAACCACATCTGGGTAATACATCAGACCAGCAAACCCAGTGCCAGCAAAGGTTCCCTGTAATCTCCTTCTGACCAATTGTCCAATCCCCTTGCCATCTGTGTGCTGAGAACGCTGGAAGCCACTGCTGCAACCCCCAAGACCTGCTGCTGGCTTGCTGACATTGCCTGTGCTAGCCTACATTCCAATCTCACCCTGGTGAGATAGACATTCTTTTGCCAATCTTCTAAGTTGTCTTGGGCTGGAAAATTGTTTCAGCCCATCCTTTTGTTTGTTCTGCCATTCCAGAATTCATTTTGAAGTGTTATTTTAAAATTATTTGGAGGGGAATTTGGGAGAGCTCGGGTGAGTTCCTGCCTTTACCCTTTCTACTAAGAATTTCTAAATACATTTTAGATTTTCACAGCCCAAAATGAAAAAAAAAAAGAATAAAAATTTGGTGTTTAAAGGTTTAAAACTTTAGATAATGAGGATATTTAGTTACCATAGACAGTTGATTAACCCAGATGCCAGAAATAATGAGGTTAATTTAGTAACAGGTTTAAGAAAAGCTTACCTTTGTTGCAGGATCATACTTGATTTTAGCATCAGATTGGATTGGAATGTTATTCTCTTTCACAGTAACTCGAAATGGTTGGAAATTCTGCCCAAAGATTTTGATCTCTTTAAATGCTAAGTTATTTGGATCTCTGTAATTCTGATGTAAAACCTTCACATCTAGGTGATTCTAAGAGACACACAAAAAGAGAACCCACGTTATCTCCTCCTACAACGGCTAAATTTCCCAGTGTCTAAGGTGACTACTAACTCATTTTATTGGCTTCAGTAATTGGAGGAACGAATTTAGGATTAGGCCATAACAGTAAATAGTTAAAAACAATGGTGTTTTGTTTCCAGATTATCTGATTTAGAAAGACTAAAAAATCCCTTCTGTAATAGAATGGACTCAGTTATTATGGGATGACATTATTTGGAATTAGAAGCTGTGGGTTCAGATCTCACCTCTGATACTTTTTTCTAACTGTGACCATGAGCACATAAGTTACTTAGTCACTCTAGGTCTGTTTCCTTATTTGTAGAATTAGGGAACTGAATTAAATGTCTCCTAAGGTTCCTTCCAGCACTAAATTTTATGATCTTATGAGGTTTTCCTTCCCTATCCAATATTAAGCAAACTCTCCACTGGTGTTACTTGTGTGTCAAAGCTGAAAGCTAGATTGCTGAAGGCAGGAAGGATTCCTCCTAGTTCCTGGCATACTTTTTCTTCTCCCAACACTTTCTAAATGGGGCACTGACTTTCTGAGTTATCTGTCACATTGTATACAACTTTCTCTCAATAACAGAAGAAATGAAATGTAAATTATGATTTCAAGAAGTCCATTGTCATCAACCCTAACTTGCAGAAGGAATATGTTATTATTACCAGAGCAACTTAATCAAGAATGTGCAGCAGAGTCCAAATTCAAAGTCACTGCCTTAAGTTCCAAATCTTTTATCTTTTAAAATTTACTAATAATTTCCTGAAAACAGGATTAGGATACATACACACACACACACATATATATACATAAACATATATATACATATATACAAGTATATATATACTTACATTTTTTGCATATTTTATATATACCTGTGTGTTTGTATTTACCTATGTGTGATTCTAAAGCAATAAGATGGATTCTACCAGCTACACATGAAGCAATCTCATTTTATATAAATATAACAAAGATATCTATACTATCTGGTAAAAATATAGTCAGAGTCTCACCTACATAAAAACATATATTTTTATGTAGGTGATTCTCTAACAATAATGAATACAACTGCATGTGTGTTTACATGTATATACTATTACATTTATATTAATCACATCTATATGAAAATATGTAGATATGTGTAGTGTGTATTTGTACTACACACACATATATGTATGCCATATGTATGCCATAGGAGCATCTTGCAAATACAAGCCCCTCTCCTTTATTGGCTATAAAGAGAGAACATGTAATTATGGATACTAAGAGAATTGGAATTCAGTTTAGACAAAATTTTCCCAAACTTTATGATGAAAGCTGATTTCACATTATTGACTCTGATAATTTCAGCAGTGGGAATCTACTTTGAGTACCATATTATATATCCCTACAAGATTTCTAGGAATATGATACCTATAATGAAAAGAATGGGAGAAAAAGAAAAGAAAATCAGGCTTCAGGAGAGGGATGGCCTAGCTTTGACCATTCCCCCAAATACTCTGAAATCTCTTTTATTAGGATGAAATTACAGAGAATTCATTCTTCCTTCTAAATCTCAGTTGACAGCACAGACCAATGGGCTATTCAAGCAAAGATTTTATGCTCTGGACAACTGGGAAAGTTATGGCCCTCAAAAGAACAAACAAGTAAAATTCTCCCTTAATGGAATTCTTATTTTTTGCCTTTTAGTGCCATTAATTTTGCTAAGATAATAAAAAAGTCAAAATTCCCATTTACACTTACCTGACTAGCAGAAAATGTTGAGAAATAGTAATTCCCCTGTTCATAGGTATCTGCAACAAGACAACAGAATGAAATCTACCAGGTCCTATCAAGCACAGCTTAAGACACAAAAAGCTCAAACATTTCAACCTTATCAACACCAGGACTTCTTGTTTCCTTGGTTCTTTCATTCTCTGTCTTCTTTAGAAACTCCTACTTACAGACTCCAGGAGAAATACCCAGCATCCTAGAGTAGTTCATGGATGGCTGTAAGGGTTTGAGAGTTAATTCACTGCAATGCAATGCTACGTGGTAGACTACAATGGGCAAGGAACCTTCACTCAGATGAATCAGCTCGACATGTCCTCAATGTCTTCCCTTGTTGAATATTTTTCTCCTGTTGTGGCTAACTTAATCTTATTTTTTAAACTGCTGAATGACCTATGGGTGTTCGACTTATGCCAAAGTTAACCCTAAACTTCCAGGGAACTAGCTTGAGTCTAGCCCAGCCAAGAACAGGAAAAATGAGTGGGAGGTACAAAGAGGTGAATTTAAAGAAAAACTGGAAGAACTGGAGACATTCTAAAATAGGATGGCCCACTTTGGGGTGGGGGTGGAAGGTGTTGGGTTGCCCCTTACCTGAAATCTTCAAGGAGAGGATAGATGACAACAAGCAGAAACTTTTTCAGGTATGATTTGGATTAGATGATTTCAGAGGTCCCTTCCAACTCCAAGAGTCTATAGATTCTAATCAATCATCCTAATAAATTATTAAAATGAACTGATTTGAAAATAGGCAAGAACACAGGCAGCTAGGTGGCCCAGTGGAGGGAGTGCCGGCCCTAGAATCAGTAAGACTCATCTTTCTGAGTTCAAATCTGGCTTTAGACACTTACTAGCTGTGTGACCCTGGGCAAGTCACTTAACCCTGTTTCCTTCAGTTTCCTCATCTGTAAAATAAGCTGGAGAAGGAAATGTCAAACCACTCTAGTATTTTTGCCAAGAAAACCCCAAATGGGGTCACAAAGTGTCAGACATGACTGAACAACAACACCAAAGAACACATGGGTGCTGAGAAAAGCTATAGTGTAGCCTTTACACCAATATTGATGTAAATTGAACCTTAAGGAAGCTCCACTCACCGATGCTTTGTCCATCATCCCAGAAAAATTCTCCTTCAGCTACTCCATTGTCTGATAAAGCCACAATAAGACCCAGGGAATTTCTCCGGCTATGAAAATCAAAAATTAAAATAAGGCACCCAACAACTTGGAATTGATGTTTGATCTCTGTTCTCTAGAATTCTCCCCAAGGTATGTATCATGCAACTACCTTTGTAGCAAATATCAAGTATGAACTTTCAACATGCTTGAAATAAAAGTTACAATTGTGACATAATTTGATTTTAATCCACGAGCCATAGAATAGATAATAAAGAAGTATTCATGATTCATCTCTGACTCTCTACTCAGACTTATCATGCCCAGCAGCACCCTACATTGGTGAAGCACATGATAGGTCACAAAGCATTTCTATCCACATGATGTCACTTAACACTTCATACAAAATCTCCCACGCGAATAGCATAGGATTATCATGATGCTTAGGTAGATGACATAAAATGTGCTGGGGGCAAACACCAGGAAAAGAATGAAATGTACCATCCATTCATCTGGGAGGATGGGAAAATGGCCAATGTGGGGGGAAGGATGAATGTAGAAATCCCCAGTCTCTCCCTTTCCCCCATAAGATACCTCTATCTGGTAATTTCCTGTTTTTAACAGATTACTATTGCTAATTAGGTGCTAAATTCAGTTGTCTTTATGCTGATGAAGGACTAAAAGTGCTATCTGCAAACCTCTAAATTTCAAATATCTTTCCATGCAGAATGTAAACAATTCGACCTTATTAAGTCTCTTATGATTTCTCTTTCCTGTTTACTTCTTCATGTTTCTCTTGAGTCATGTATCTGAAAATCAAATTTTCTATTCAGCTCTGATCTTTTCATCAAGAATGCTTGAAAGTCCTCTGTTTCACTGAATATCCATTTTTTTCCCCTGAAGGATAATGCTCAGTTTTGCTGGGTAGGTGATTCTTGGTTGTAATCCCATCTCCTTTGCCCTCCAGAATATATTCCAGGCCCTACAGTCCCTTAATGTAGAAGCTGCTAAATCTTGTGTTATCCTGATTGTGTTTTCACAGTCCTTGAATTGATTCTTTCTGGCTGCTTGCAATATTTTCTCCTTGACCTGGGAACTCTGGAATTTGGCTACAATATTTCTAGGAGTTTTCCTTTGGGGATCTCTTTCAGGAGGTGATTGGTGAATTCTTTCAATTTCTATTCTGCCCTCTGGTTCTAAAATATCAGGGCAGTTTTCCCTGAAAATTTTTTGAAAGATGATGTCTAGGCTCTTTTGTTGATGATGGCTTTCAGATAGTCCAATAATTTTAAAATTATCTCTCCTGGAGCTATTCAACCCTCTAAATTTCAATAAGGGACAAAGCACTGGCCATTCTATCCTGGATACAGATCTGGGTGGTATACAGGAAATAAAAGTTTCTTAGATTTTACAAAATACTTTCCTCTCAACACCCACATTGCTATCAACATTATCTATTTGGTAGACAGTGCAAGAATCTGATTTTAAAGAATCAGGAAACTGAGGCTCTATGACTTTGGGGGATTTTTCTAGAGTCTTACTGCTAGAAATCAACTCAAGCCCAGGCCTCCTGACTACAAGTCCATCACTCTGTTCACTATACTGCAGTGTCTTTCAAGAAAAGGACAGGAAGCACAAAGAATTAGCATTAGGATCTGAGGTACACATTTGGAAAGGAAAGAAGGATGCTGCTCCCCTCACTCACCTATAGTGGGTATTATTAGCAGGTTCTTGCCATGGAAGGATGTAGCCTCCACGGACATGGAGATTGATGTGGTCAAGAGGAGCTGGCAGGTCCTTCCACTCTCCCCTCACTCCAATATCTGAGCCCTTTGATTGAGAGGAAGGCAGGGATAAAATGAACTTAGGAACTTCACCTTAGCTGAATAGTTGACAAGGTAGGGAAAGTGCTTTCTCACTATAGACTCTCACCTCCAGTTATGTACCCTATTTTTTAACCACATGCGTACTGCTCAATTCAACTGGTCATACATTATTCCTCCTTACTCTCCTTCCCCTGTATACCAAAACTTGTCAAATCTGCCTTTCTTCAAAATAAACCTTCCCTAATTATTCCCACCAGTCAGTGTATCTCATCAACCCTGTCTCATCGCTCTTCTTTATCTCCATTCTCAGGGTTCGTCAGGGCCTTTGGAAACAATGGATGTTCAACCAGAAGGGAATTAAGTAACTGACTAGAGGAGAATCTCAGACTGTGGAGGGGAAAAGAAATGGAAATAAAGCAATCAATGACAGCTACATAATGTCAGTTCTTCAAGATGTACGAGGGTAGAGTTGTCAGAACTTATACAGAAATCCTGAAAACATCACAGAAGAGATACCTTGGGCCCCCACAATCCTTCCCCACTCCCTGATCTTACACACTTTTCTGAACTGGGTGAAGTTTGAGCACTTATGTACCATTAGAGAAACTTACCGAGTAGTAATCATACCAGGGATCTTTGGGGAAGTAGGCAGACACCTGCCTGGCATTCTGCAATAAAAATATATGAGTTGTTAGAAAACTGACCCAGAAAGACTAAGAATAATAACCACTACATTTCAATCAATAAGCATTTATTAAGTGCTGAGTATGTACCAGGCACTATGCTAAGTACTGGGAATACAGAAAGAGGCAAAAGACAGTCTCTCCCCTAATGGAAGTTACAATATAATGAAGGAAACAACATGTAAACAAGTACGTACAAAGCAAATTTTAAACATAATAAATAGGAAATAATTATGAGAGGGAAGGAGCTGAATTAAGAGGGGTTGGGGAAGGCTTCCTATAGAATGTGGGATTTCAGTTGGGACTTGAAGCCAAGGAGATGAGTAGGTGGAAAGGAGGAAGGACAGCATGCCAGGAATGAAGGACAACCAGAGAGAATGCCCAGAGCTGAGAGATGCAGTGTCTTGTTCATGGGACAGACAGGAGGCCAGTGTCACTGGATCAAAGAGTATGTGTCAGGAAGTAAGGTGTAAGAAAACTGGAAAGGTAGGAAGGGGGTAGGTTATGATGGACTTTGAATGCCAAACAGCATTTTGTATTTGCTCTTGAAGGCAAGAGAAAGCCATGGAGTTTATTGAGTAAGGGGAGGTGATCAGATCTATACTTCGGGAAAATCACTTTAGTGAAGTAGTATAGAGTTAAAAAAAAAAACGAAGGTCCAGGTTGTCCTGAAGGACAACTATGCATGATCTAGAGGAGAATTTGGCAAAGGAAAGAGAGGAGTGGTCAGATAGGTAAGAGGATAACCAGGAAATAATGGTGTTCTGAAAACCTAGAAAGAAGAGAGTACCAAGAAGAAGGGTGTTATCAAGATTGTCAAAGGCTGAAGAGTAGTCAAAGTGAATGAGGATTGAGAGAGGGCCACTGGGTTTAGCAACTAAGAGGTCATTAGTAACTTAGGAGAGTAGTCTTAGTGGAATGATAAGGTCACAAGCCAGGTTGCAAATGGTTAAAAAGAGAATGAGAGGAAAGAAAAGTGAAAGCACATGTATTATCTAGGAGTTTAGCTACAAAGGGCAGAAAAGATATAGGACAATAATTAGCAGGGATGGAGGGCTCAAGTGAGGGGTTTTTTTCAGGACAGGGGAGACATGGGCATGTTTATAAGCAGTAGGAAATGAGCTAGTAGAGAGGGAGAGACTGAATATAAGTGAAAGAGTGGGGATCAAAGAAGAGGAAATCTGTTGGAGGAGATGAGACGGAATGGGATCATTTGAACAAGTGGAGGAGTTAGCCTTGGTGAGGAATAAGGCCACGTCATCATGTGAGGCAGGAGTAAGACAGGAGAAGGTGGCAGAAGATACCTGAGTGACAGGAGATGAGGAAGAGGGGAGAAGAGGGAATTCATGGCAATTTTTTTCTGTAAAATATGAGGCAAGGTTCTCAGCTGAGAGAATGGGGGGACGAGAAGCCATGGGAGGCTTAAGGATGGATGAAAAGGTTTAGAAAAGCCACTAGATAGAGTGCAA